TTTATTTTTTGAATCATTATCCACACGTCTTTAATTGCAGTTGGCTATGTCCTTTACATCGTTTTAATGTTCAAGTTTACCTTTTTCTCTCTTTTCTTCCCTTCTGTAATTGTAATTGTTAAAGAAACGAGGGTTTTGATTGTAGTTTTCAAGTCTGTGTTTTGGTAATTCTATACCATGGTATAATTAACGTGTTAGAGTCCTCTTTATTTCCTGTAAATTTGTAGTTGGATATAGAAGCTTAAGTGTATTTAGGTTTATAGATGGCGTCGTGTTCTTCCATCTGGTAACATCTGATGTCTGGTTGGCTTTTTTTTTTTTTAATAGTGGAAGTTAGATTTTTTTTATTTTTACATATTTTTAATTTTTTAACTTAAATTCCATTAAGTAACATAATGTATTATTAGTTTCAGTTGTGGAGTTCAGTGATTCATCATTCTTATATAACATCCAGTGCTCATTCCATCCTGTGCCCTCCTTAATACCCATCCCCCAGTTAACCCATCCCTCCACCCATCTCCCCTCCAGCAATCCTCAGTTGGTTTCCTGTGATTAAGAATTGACTCTTTTATGAGGTTAGCCACTAAGATGTTTAAGGCCTAGATGTTTTAGCCCTATATTAAGGGTTCACTACGGGTTACAAGATGCTGATATTCTTTTTTTTTTTTTTAAGACTTTATTAATTTATTTAGAGAGAGTGTGTGCATGTGCGAGCACGGAGAGCGAGAATCTAGAGCACACTCCCTGCTGATCATGGGACCTGATGCAGGGCTCAGTCTCATGACTCTGAGATCATGACCTGAGCCAAAAATCAAGAGAGTCAGACACTCAATGGACTGAGCCACCCGGGCGCCTCACAAGATGGTGCTATTCTCATTCATCTTTCCACTTTTATAAACTGGTTTATTTTTGTAAAGCTGAAGCCCCCCTCATCTATTATTACCCAGTGGTATCGATTATACAGAGGGAGAAAGGTAATGGCTTCTCTTTTTATTTAATAATTTCCCGAATAATAAGTTGGCTAACTAGCATCCTTCAGTGGTGAGCTAATTAATTCCAGTCCCTTAGTTATTATTCTTATCATTATTCAAATTTTCTCATCTTTGGACAGTTAAAACTATTAGAAGTTGACCATTGGGTCTATTGAGAAGAATGTTAACTTCCTTGCCATTATACCAGATATTTCAGGTTCATTTTGTAAATATTCTGCCCAGTCCAAAATTAGTCATTTGTCCTGGGAACCCTGGTTCCTAACACCTTTATCTGTGGATCAGGTTAATCCATTGTCTTATTAATAGACTAAATGCAAATCAAGAGACATGCAAGATTTACAATCAGTGTATCTTTTTTTTTTTAATATTTTATTTATTTATTTGACAGAGAGACACAGCGAGAGAGGGAGTACAAGCAGGGGGAGTGGGAGAGGGAGAAGCAGGCTTTCCACCAAGCAGGGAGCCCGATATGGGACTCAATCCCAGGACGCTGGGATCCTGACGGGAGCCGAAGGCAGACGGTTAATGACTGAGCCACCCAGGCGCCCCTCAGTGTATCTTTGATACTGAGTATAAGGCCATTAGACAAGAGATTGGACTTTGAAGTGATTATAAGTATTCCTTGGAAAAGAATATACCCAAGTACGCTCGGTTGTCTCTTTGGCAGTTGCCTCTGCCAGGAAGTACAGTTTCCAATGTAATTACTGGTTTTTCTGCAATCCAAGTAGCTTGGCGGGTGTTTAGGATGATGAAACTTCTCTCAGCCCAGAGGAGGACCTCAGACTCTTAATAGTGCAGACAGCCAATCGGAACCCTCATAATCTGTTGTTTTAGACTGACTAAATTATGAGGTAGGATCTGAAGGGATTTGTTCATGAGACTTTAAAGTCTCTTACCACTTCTTCTTATCACCTCGCTCTGTATCCTGTTAGGTATGGACTTATTTTCTCATATTTTGGAAACCTGCTCGTGTAATTTATTTAAAATCTAAATTAAAATCTTACTTTTGGTGGCATATTTGGCTGGTATCTCTCAAAATTTTTCTGAATACTCTCTTGGTTACCAGTTATTGCAAAAGATAAAGATCTCTAAACTTGCTCTGTATGTAAATAATCTCTGTAATTAGCTCATGCATCATTACTAGTGATGTCTTTACCAAAGTACCATGAATATAAAGCTATAATTTTGTAGTAGTTAAAATATGAATCCGTGAGGACAAGAATCTCGATTTCTTCATTTGTCCTGAAATGTTGGCACAGTGCCCGACACAAAAGAAGTATAGTAGTCTGTCAGTACTAGGTGAATGAATGGTCTTTAATAGTTTCTGTGCTTTATCCCTCTAGTTGCAAAATTAGTGACCTTCACATTTCATTTTGTTGGATTAAGTTCACCGGACATCCTCTCTAAAAGAAACACAGCTACTAGATATTTCTATTGTATGAATTCATTTGTTTAGCAAGCTTTGGCAGGGGTGGGGAGGTGAAATGGAGGGGTGCTAGACGCCGGGTGAAACACTGGGATACAAGGATGAAAGACCTGCCTGTTCTCAAGACGCTGGAAGTGGAATGAAAGAGACCCACCAAGGAAAAGCTGGGCAGCCAGCCGCCTGCACAGTGCGGGAGGAGGGTAGGGGTGTGGGGGAGGGGGCGGGTGAGGGGGGGGGGGGGGGGGGAGGGAAGCGTGCAGGCTGGAGGCAGGTTTAGACTTGCCTGTGCTGCCTTGGACAAGTCACTTGAGTTCTCTGTGCTAGAATTTCCTTTCTGTGTTATGTTGTGGGAATATGAAAGAACGAATTCTATTTGGGCAGTTTGGGGAACACTTCTTAAAGAAATGACATTTGAGTTGTTTTAAATCATTAAAGAGCATGAAGTTTTTTTTTTTTTTTTTAATCCCTTTTGTCTGCTTTAGGTTACCATTTAAACATTACTTCCTTGCAGAAGTTTGCCTCTGATCCCCACACAACTAATTTAAGTTTCCTGTTGTGCTACTGGTTCACTCTCTGTTTTGTCTTTTTATTACTTGGTTATACCTACCCAGTTTCTTGTCAGCTCATTCGTAAATGGCAGGAGGACTGAGATCTGTTCAGTTTATCATTATTTTCCCCAGTTCCCCGTATAGTTTCTGTTACTTGTTAAGGGAATCTGTGGTCATACAAATAAGGGAAGGGCATTTCAAGCATAGGAAGCAGCATTTACAAATTCACGGTTAACGAAGGGCTACCCTCAAGTGCATGGAAAGTGACAGGGAACATAAGGCTGGAATGGTGGGTTCAGGACAGATTTTAAGTGGTCAGTAAAATTGGTGCTGAGACTGATTTTTAAGAAACTTATGTGGTGATGTCTGTTTTGATAAGATCCATGGTTTGGGGCTAGTTTGGATCAAAATTAGTGCTGAGAATTTACTTTAAAAGTCCATTTCAGTGAAAAGCTTGGTTTTTTAGCTATTTTGGATAAAAACCTATATTTTCTGAAACTGTTGTGTTTAAGTCCAAGGAGTTTGGCTTTATTCTGTTAGTAGAACCAGCTGAGTGGTTCTTTTTGTTGTTGTTGATTTTAAAATCAACTGAGTTTTTGAGCAGGTAATTATGGATAGCTTTGTGTTTAGGAAGGTCATTACACAGCAGGGTCTTCCAGCTTAAACAGTATTAACATTTTGGGCCTGAGAATTTGTTGTTGTAGGAGCTGTCCTGTGCGTGATGTGATGTCCTGTGCATCCCTAGGCTCTACCCACTGGAGGCCCATATCACTTCCGCCCCCAGTCCTGCCTCAGGTGTGAACACGGTGTCTTCAGATACTGCCGACTAACACCTGTGGGGTGAAATCAGCTTCGGTGCAGCTGTGCAAAATACGGGTTTGAGTGTAATACACTTCAGGCAGAGGAACCAGTTCACAGGGGACTGGGGCGGTCACCCAGATGAGGCGAGGTGGTTTGAATTCATATGGTTACAGACAGCGTAGGGGCAGGCGAATGGCGTATTTGTACGTGAAAGCCAACGAGATTCGGTGACCACCTGGATTGAGAAAGGCCGGTGCCCGAGATGATCCTTGGGCCTGCCTTAGCTGGCTGCCTGTACAGCAGTGCCTTCAGTCCAGAGTCGTATGGAGAGAAGTCTTCCTCGGGATTGCAGCAGTGCAGGAAGCGAGAAATTGTTGTACACTAGAGTCTACGAACTCCTGCTGTAGATTCTTGGACTGATAGAATACTAAATGAAAAGAACTTTCCAAAACATTTGATTATTTTTTTTTTTAGGTGAGGTAAAAAGGAAGAAGATGCATGCTGAAAGTTAACAGCAGAATCTGTTCAAGAGCATAGGTCTCCCTGTCTCTCATCTTTCTCTCTTCCTTCCTTTGTTTCTTTTGTGTGTGTGTGTGACACGACTCTTGTCTTTTTAAGTAGAGATGTTCCTTTTATACACTAAGTGCCTTTTCTGGTTTTCTTAAGTGCGCTAAACCTACTTAAAGAGTTCACTTTTTCCTATCCATTCCCAAGAACTTATCTTCAGGAACTTAAACAAATGTAATTTTTGCTGCACTGTTATCTGTAACTAGTGTACCATGTTTCCGTGTGTATGTAAGTGGGTCTTCGGGTGGCAGAAGTAAAGTACTGCCATTGCCCGCCCAGTACCCTAGGCTCGAGCTGTAGTTAAACGGGCTACAGTTGAAGGATGAATGTGGGTCTTAACTTACAACACAAACATGTAATCATTCTTATCATTTCACAGTACTTTAAAACATAAGTGCTAACTTTTAAAATATGGTTTGGTAACACACCGGTGTATATCGTAATTGGTATAAACTGTAAGGAATTGAAATATTCTGTGTCCTGGCCACAATGCTGAACACGTCTGTGTGCGTGACTGACTGCATATGTTCTTCAGCTACTTCTCCCATTCCTAATAATTCTCACTCGGGAGACCCTCGTTTCTGTACCGTCCGTCAGCTCTCTCTCACTTTCATTTCACGTCCCTTGTTATCAACGGGATTCATTTGGGTGTCTTTCATCTTGAAGGGAAGGAACAGTCGCCTCTGGAGATGGCTGTGCACCCAGTGGCAGCAGCTCCGCTCTCCGTGTTTACTAAGGAGACGGCGTCCTCCAAACACGGCGAGCACCACCACCACCATCACCACGAGCACAAGAAGAAGAAGAAGAAGCACAAACATAAGCACAAGCACAAGCACAAGCACGAGAGTAAAGAGAAGGACAAAGAGCCTTTCACTTTCCCCAGCCCGGCCAGCGCCAGGTCTGTCCGATCTCCTTCTCTTTCAGACTGAGAGGGGGACAAAGGGCGCTTTGCCTCTGTGTCCTGAAGAATATATGTAACTAAAGCTTTGTTCTCTGTAAAGAATGATAAAAGGAAACAGACAAAAAAATAGTTGCCTTTCTCATAGAAATTCAGAATCTATGTAAGTTCTAAACGTTTGACTTATTTATGCAGTTGAGGTCTAATTAGAAGAATGTTTTATAGTTCTGAATCAACCATTTCCTCCCATTTCCTCCTTAGACCGCACACACATGCACGCGCACTCACACCAGCCTTCGTAAAGGCCCTCATATCCACTGGCAGTTCCCATTCACATCATGGTCTTCATGTGTACTGCCAAAACCAATTATGTTTTAAAGTCTTTGATGGATGTTATGGGGCAAAGTGATGTTTTAAACAAGCTCCTGCCAGATCTGTGGTGAAACCACGATTTCCAGTGAAATCTTGTATGACACTATTGGGAACTACTGAGAAAGACTGAGGCTTTTCCATAGGAATCTTCTGTATTACATGGTATTTTTTGTGTTAACCATAGAGGCTAAACATCAGAATTTGTGAACAAGATTACATGATACTTTCTTTTGCCCTAAAACACTGAAATTTTTAGAAGCAGCTCTTTTTAAAAAAAATTTTTTTTTGGATAGCATTTTTGATAGTGCTTTTGGGGATTATGACGTTGGAATTTAACAGAACTCTCAAAGCCACAGTTCTCAAATCAAGATGTTTAAATTTTAAGTTCTTTTTTCATTAAGTATAAGTGAATATGTTCATATATAGAATATATTTGTTAAATGTGGACAGTTTACACACCCGACACATAATCTAAAATTATTTCTATATAACACAAAGTCCAGTACCTTAAAAAGGTGTTTATATGGTGTTTACTAACTCAGAGATAGACAAGTCAGCCCTCATGTAAGTATACCAGAAACATTTAAAAATATATGAAACATTTTGGTTTCATACTTAAATAGTTTGTGTGTTTTTATTTCTGAATTTACCATGTGCTTTATTGTTTATTTAAAATGTTTTTCATACCTGTTCTATTTTTATCATTTCTCTTACCATTAGCTTGACAGAGTATTTCTTCTGGAATAGATGTCTCAAAGGGATCCAGTAATATTGGACTTTTAAGTAAATATACTTTTAGTTGTGTTTAACTTGTTTAATAAATAACTTTTTAAATTGTCCATTCTGCCTTTGTGTCTTTTTATGGCTTTGTTACCCTTTTCTTTGTGTATGCATATCACGTACCTGTCCACAAAGCTGTCTGCAGGCTTTGTGGACGGCAGGATCTGAGCTGGTCTTGCTAGGGAGAATGATTTCAGTAGAGATGGGGAAAGTTCTCTCAGTAAAAGAAACGGTGTTTCTTTTTTTATGGAGGAAAGTAAGGGGATGTTCAGGAGTTGAAAACGTGTGCAGTTGACTTGGTGAAAGGCCTGAGTGGCAGTTATTTCAAGATCCCCATTAGTTTAGTGTCGGCCCGCTGGAATTATTTTGGGAAAGTGGAACATCTTGTCACGGTGCGCAGTGTGATACCATTTACAGAATTCCCAACTTTGAAAATAGTAAGATGTATTTCAAAATAATCATTAATGTTGTAGGAAGAGGTGACAAATAATAGCAAACCTGTATAACTTAAGGACGTGTTGTATATCCGGCGTCGTACTGGGAACTGTATGTTACCTGTCGTTTCTAAATTGGGTATTTATACTGGGTGTTTCTTGTGAGGCACGTTTTTTTAATGGCAAGCTTTCAGTTATTTAAGCTGATGGTTAGGAGCAGACAACACAAGAATTATTCATATTTTTTTGAAATATGTAATTACATGCAAACAACACAGAGTTCCAGTGTAAGTCTCCCCAGTCTCCTTCCCCAGAAGGAGTCTCTGCAGGCAGTATTACGTGTGTCTTTCCAGAGCTAGTCTGTACGTATGTCTATGCAGTATGGACATTTTTTTTTAACAAACGATAGTTATAGAAATGTTTTGAATTTTGGTATAGCTTATCTTTTATGACTACACATTTTGCGTCGTACTAACAAATGTCTTTTTTATTCTGTGATTACAAAAGAATTCTCCCATTTTTTTCTATTGGTTTTAAAGTTTTATGTTTCAAGTTTCTATCCAACTAGTATCCATCTGGAATTTATTTTCATAGAAAATAGGAGGTGGAGAGATCCAGCTTTTTTTTTTTTCCCCCCCCAGAATGTTACCCAATACTATGTATTTAAAACTTCCTTTTTGGGGTCCCTGGCTAAAGTGCGAGACTCCTCATCTTCGTGTTGTGAGTTCAAGCCCCACATAGGATGTAGCGTTTACTTTAAAAAAAAAAAAAAAATTAGGGGCGCCTGGGTGGCTCAGTGGGTTGAGCCTCTGCCTTCAGCTCAGGTCATGATCCCAGGTTCCTGGGATCGGACCCTGCTTCGGGCTCTCTGCTCAGCGGGGAGCCTGCTTCCCCCTCTCTCTCTGCCTGCCTCTCTGCCTGCTTGTGATCTCTCTCTCTCTCTCTCTCTCTCTGTTAAATAAATAAATAAAATCTTCAAAAAAAAATTTTTTTTTTAATTAATTAAAAAAATAAAACTCGCATCTTTTCTCTCTAGATTTCAAGTCTTGCATACTAAATCCCCTTACTGCTTGGGCCCATTTCTGGACTTTGCGGCTGGTGTCATGCATGGGTCTGCTCGTCCGCCAGTACCACGCTGATGAGATCACGGTAGCACCGTGCCATGTTTCAATACTGTAGACCTAGTCTCCCTTCATTACTTTTCATGATCTTCTTGCTGTTCCTGTGTGTTTTCTTTTTCCAGTTGATTGATTGATTTACACACAGTAAAACTCCCTTCTTTTGTATATTTCTATGGTTTCGACAAACGCTTGGACTTGTATCTCCAACCACCAGTTCCGTCCCTGCAAAAATTCAGTCTGTAGTCAGCAGCTCCGCCACCCAACCCCTGCCTTCCACTCACAGATTTTCCATCCCTGTAATTTTGCCTTTTTGTGGATTTATTTTTCTACATAAATACTAGAATTAGGCTTTTTAGGTTCTCCCATGAAATTGTTTTTTAGTGAGTATTGGTCAAGAGTGAACTTAGAATTGGTATTTTGAGGTTGATGATTTGTATTAGTGATGTCCGTATTCCTATCTATTAGGATGGTTTCATATATACAGTCGTTTGTTTCTGTTTGGTTGTCTAGAAATGAAGTCTTTTCATTATAAGATTATTTTATGCTGATTTTGTGCTTAGCTACTGCATTAATCAGGGTTCTCGAGAAATATATAGATGTTTGTTATAAGGTATTGACAATTTTGGAGGTTGGGAAGTTCTACAATCTGCTGTCTGCATGCTAGAGACCCAGCAAAGCTAGAGGTATATAGTCCCAAGGCCTGAGAGAAAGAGGGCCTACAGCACAGATTCTAGTCTAGGTCTGAAGTCCTGAGAACCACGACTGTAAAGGGCAGAAGGTCTCTGTCCCCACTCTCGTCAGAGAGGGGATTCAACCTTCCTACACCTGTTCTGTGGAAGCCCTCAGCAGTTCTGGTGAGGCCCATGCACAGTGGGAAGGGCTGGCGCCTTCACTCATTCCACCAATTCCGATGCTAGTCTCTTCATGAACCACCCTTACGAATACACCCCAAAATAATGTTTAACCAGTTAGGGGGGCATCCGTTGGCCCAGACAAGTTGACACCTAAAATTAGCCAGCATAACTACATGACTAAATTCTCACTATCTGCAACATTTACATGTATTTCTTGGGTTTTACTTAAAAGCATCCATATCTGTAAATGATGATAATTTTATTACCTCTTGTCTAATGTTGATAAATTTAGTTTTCTTTTTAAGATTTCATTTATTTATTTGACAGAGATCACAAGGAGGCAGAGAGGCAGGCGGGGCTGGGGGTGGGGAGCAGGCTCCCCGCTGAGCAAAGAGCCCAACGTGGGACTCGATCCTAGGACACTGAGATCATGACCTGAGCCAAAGGCAGAAGCTTAACCCACTGAGCCAACCAGGCGCCCCGATAAATTTAGTTTTCTAATTTATTTTTTTGTCTGACTTATTTCTCTTGCTTGAAGTGGCCTGAGAGTTGCCGGGATGGCATAGTCTCTGATGATCTCACGTCCCGCTTTGCGTTCTCTGCTTCATGGGTTGTGGATTGTGTTTCACACTTCTTCACCTTCTTTGAAGTTGAAGTTTATGATATTTGTTTCCTTTGGGTGATTATCAAGGAGAGAATGGAGACACTACCTTACTACTGAAGTCTTAGAAAATCCTGAAAAAGACATTTTGATCAAAGTATCATTGTTCCATTGAAATCCTTGTCTGGTAAATAGTTGGAAAGCTACTTCGTTTCCCCATCCTCCTCTCCTAACTCATCTCTCCTGTTTGCAACCTTTTACTCTATAAAGAAATGAAATCTCAGTATATCTCATGTGCTCCAGCCCAGGTGGAACTGTCCTTTCAAAACTTTCAACTTCTGGCAACCCTGCCTTTGAGTGCAAGCAGGACTGAGTGACTCACTTCCAAAGGATAGAGTATGGAAGGGGAAAATAGTAACTTTCCAGTTAAAGCTGACAGACACATCATTAGCCAAGTGACCATGGTAAATAGCAGTAGCGGTAAGTCATGTTAATATGTCCTCATTAGTACAATGTGGTGAGAAGGACACCTCTGTGGATATAAAATCCTACAGTGCCAGTTTATCTATTAGACCAGATGAGAAAAACATCAGACAAACCCAACAGAGGGATACTACAAAATTCCTGACTGTTATTCCTCAAAGCCCTTAAATTTGGGGTTGGGAGAGGGTGGTGGGGTTATGGACATTGGGGAGGGTGTGTGCTATGGTGAGTGCTGTGAAATGTGTAAACCTGGCGATTCACAGACCTGTACCCCTGGGGATAATATATGTTTATAAAAAATTAAAAATTTAAAAAAAAAAAACAACAAAAACAAATGACAGAGAGACTGTCCCACCAGAGGCGATGAGGGAGACATGACAACAAGGCAGTGAGTTTTCTTGGATGGGATCCTACAACAGAAGAAGAACATTTGTGAAAAAACTAGTGAAATCAAAGTACATTCTGGAGTTTCATTAAT